ACAGGGCTTCCACTGGCTAACGCCGCCCTTTAATCCCAATGTTCCATATGCCATGTAAGAAACCAGTCAACAAACCTTTAACTTTAGAAGATGCTAACGCAGCTGAGGAAGAAAGCGCGGCTTCATAACCGTAGAGGTTGTCCCACTGGCCTAACAGCGGCCCCTCACTCATTTGTGTCATGGAGCAGCCACTCTGCAAAATTTAAGTTTCCTTCCGCTGATATTTCCACCAGGCCCTTGGATTTGCCCCACGTCTGAGAGAACCAAAACCGGTTCTTACGAGTCTGGGCTCTATGGTACCAATCTGCTCTAATCGTCTGTGTGATCGAGGACTTCACCGCAGCCACTTGAGCCTGAACTGTGCGAATCTCTTGTCGGAATATTATCTTATTACGTGCTTTCCAAATTATATCCATGATGATCCCCTGGCAGGCCAGGGCTACATATGCCCAGCCCTTTAAATAGTCCAATTCCGAGGGGGACATGCCGTGCAGTGTCCATTCATGTGACCAGGTGAACTCTGAGCCTACTAATAAACTCCACCTGCCTTTCCACCATTCCCATAGCTGGAGGGAGAATGGACAGTAGAGCCAGATATGGGAGGCATTCTCCCAACCCCACTTACATCTGGCACACTGTTCTTCTAGATCCATACCCCTTGCTGCCAGCCAGGAAGCCGAGGGGGTTACCGATAGCGATTGGAGCCAAATTAAACTTGCTTGTTTCTGGGATACCTTAAACTTAAGTGCCCACCATAGACCGTACAGATCTAAGTTGCCCAGCGAGAATCCTGGCTCCCTACTCAGTCTTTCCGTTGCCGTAACCAGAGGTTGCTTCTTCACTGCAGTTTGTAATATCTGAGCCCCTGCCTTGGTCTTGTACAGCCCGACTGGGTACAGCAGGTCCGACTTTGCCTTGTTTCTCCATCCATACAACAGGGGTTCAACTTGGATCGTTGGAGCATCATCCGACACCAGCAAGGCCTCTTCTTTCTTACCTTCCCCCTTAAGCCACACTCGGCATTCTCGCAGCCCAACTGTTGAGGGGATGGATTTCTCCCCTTTATTAATAAGCCGTGTGAACGATGTAGCCCAGGTTATTGGTTTCTTCTCCCAGACTTGAACTTTAGCACCTTGAGGTAGGTCTGGTCCTAACACCCTCAAAACGCAGCTGTTCTCAATCGGGTCCTGAATCCAGGCCCCCTGCCTGTGTTCCACCTCTTGTGGCAGCAAAGCCAACCAATACTCTGGAACACTGTTCTTCAGAATCTCATAGTTATGCTCGACATTTCTCAGACGCAGCATGTGACGCGCAACCTCACGCCCCGTGCTGTCTTTCGTTCGGAGTGCTAAAGGGGCGGAATGAAGGCCCAGAAAAACAGCAAGATGGGGTGTGCCAAGGATTTTTGGAAAATTGAGTGGGGGGACACAGACAGAACTGAAATCCCCCGTGTTGGCCCGATGAAGTAAGTCGGTTGCTTTCGCGCGTCGCGGAATGCGCACGCGGGCTCGACGCGAAAAGAGAAAGATCCAAATCCAATCCAAAACGTAGTGTTGAGCTTCCCACCGCGCTACGGATCTTCGTTTAGAGCGGAAGGGCTTTGGCACACTCCGCGTATCCTGTTTCCGTACCAAGTCCTTACGTCGCTCGTTAGTCAGTTCCGAGTCCGACGTGGATGGTCTCAGCCGTGTGGCTCTTTCCTTGTGCTCGTCTTCA